TTCTTCTTTTTTGGCGGTTTTCATATTACGTTCCGATTCGGAGAGTAGGGCTTGAGCAATGGCTGAAGCCGATTTACCGCGAATTTGTCTTTTAAACTCATTTGACATTCTAGCACAATCATTATCGAGCTCCATTTTACGTATACGTTGGAGTATTCGTATGGTATCACGGCGTATTATATCCTCTAATTCCTCCTGACGACGGCGACGACGTTCGCGAGATCTATCTAAAATAGTATCCGGTTCGATATGCTTAGTAACACGCGATGCGTCCGCGAGCTTCTTTACACTAAATGGTGTACGCTTTTTTACGCGAAAATCTAGCAAAATTTCATCAGCTCTTGCAGCACATTCACGCGAAAGACGTATTATCTCGTCGGTCGTATATGTACGTACGGGTACAGAGGAATGATATTGTTTAAGGCCACGCTCACTTGTCCACGGTAAATGTGGCAATGTATCGGTATGTAAACCTTTTGCTTTTGCATCTAAGTAGTCAAGCATAGGCTGATAATAATTCATAGTGTAGCCATAATTGTCCTCATAGGTGGATTGTCGCATGTGGCGGGTACGGGCGGGACGTAAACTATAAGTTTGTGCCATTATGCTCAGAGAGGGATTCTGTTTTATCGGTTAGTATGTATATAGTTAGATTAGTTGTTGTCTCTATTGTGTCTATATGTGTCTTTGTATTATTTTGAAAGGGTGCCTGTTTTTGCTGACAATTAATGTTTTTATTGCCAAACTGATTGATCGATCGAAGTGAAGTATTTGTACAAGTAGATATATATGTATAACTGTTTGCTTGTTTCGCTATGTATTTTACTACAATTATTTATATTTTACTATTTGTACTTAACATAGAAAATCTAAAGATACAATAGAAATATTTGTAGTGCGTGCTATTGTTGCCTTTGTCTTTCCCTGTAGTTTTCTTCTCGATTTTCTTTTCGGACTGACGTTTTTGGCCTGTGGTTGCGTCTTTTTGTTGACGGTTTGTTTTCAGCAAACTAAATATTGTACTTGTAGAAATCTATAAAAAGATTTGTAGTACTTTTAAGTTCATTTCAGTGCTACATAGTTTCAGTTAAAGTCAATGTTTTTCTATGATTGATAAATGTATTTCGGTATTTGCTTAGAATGTCATAATATAGTTGCTCTTTATGCAACATTACTTTGCAGTAGAGATGATTAAGTTGATTAAAATATTAAATTGATATTTAGAGAGAAAAATCGAAAATGATATAAAAATAAAATAATGAAAATATATTTACATTTTATCAAATAAATTAAAAATATATATAAATACATTTCTAATACTTAATAAAAGTCTTCTAGTACCCGTATATTATGTCAACTAGACAACCGAAATATTCTTTATTTTTGTATACCTTTCTGATTCCATAATAGACAATATTTAACACTTCAATCGTAAGTTGGCCTCAAAAGGTATTTACTTTGAAACCGTATTCCGAACCTTTTGCGTTATTAGAAAATTCTCTACTTTTCAGATATGCAAAATTCTTGATTGTGTAATCAATTATTTCTTTTCACTCTAAAATAAAATTTTTTTTAAATAATTAATTTGAACTTTTATTTAATTTCTGAAACAGAACTTACTTTTTCAGTTTAATAAGTTTTAAATAAATTATTAAAAATATTCAAAAATAATTGCCACAAATTCACTGCACTTTTCGTCTTCTGAATTGATTAGTCTAAGGCAATTTCAAAACAATTAATCAATCGAACATTTGCAGTCGAATATATCTTTCGAACTGATTTTTTTGGGGTCAGCCTGATAAGAACTACATTCGACTTCCTGGCACAATTAGAAGAAGAGAATCAATGTTTTATCAATTTTCTTTTATCAATAAAAACAAATTACACTCAGGAAATGCAGTTCTGTTTAGTTAAAAGATTTTCACAAACGGAAAAAACATTCGATTGATTGGCCTTCAAGTGTCAATACGATCAACACAATTCAGATTTGTACTGATTGATTTTTTTACAGTGTAACAAGCAAGACATTCATTTTGTAGTGTATTGTAAGATTTTTTTATATTGTTGATTAATTTTTCGAATTTTTTTCCTTATAATTTTTGTTATTGAATTTTACGTGTTGGGAGGAATTTTTGTCCGGTTGTTCTTAATTTATGTGCACAGTAAGAGATAAGGTTCTCTGCTATTTTGCGTTCTTATATATTTTTTATTATTTTTATTTAACATTTTATGATTTTGGCGCTTTCAGCCTGTTTAATTGTGTTGCATAGTATTAGAGTATTTTGCCTTGCTTCAGGATTACTTTATGGGATTTGTTTTACGTTTTTTTCTGTATACCGATATGTTGGTTGGTTAATTGGGCTGGCCCTAAGCCTTACATAGAAATAACAGTCTCTTATGATAACAGATAGAGTCAAACTTCTATAAATTTGTAAGAGAAATCATATAGGTTGTCCACGTTCTTGGTGAATTAAAAAAGTAATTGAAGCTTTATACCTGAATTATGTCCAAGTTTCAAATTGTATAGTCTTCAAAAACTTTAAATGTGCTTTTAATGGAATGGTTTATAACTATAAAAGGTGCTCCAAAGTTTCCTTTGTTTCGAAACACCTTAATTTTTTGCTCATGCCACTATTGGCTGGCCTATGATAGCTCCACAATTTTGAAACCCTGTTATATTTCATATATAAATTAGACAAAAAAAAAATAAAATAAACCAGTTATGTTTATTTTATTTCACAAATCAAATCAGTAATGGAATATATGGTTGCATTGGGATCAAAAATTCTTATTCTAAAAATATATAAGGCCAGTATTAACATTTTTTCCGCAAATATGATTAAAACCATATCCTTTAGAAAAATAGTTCAATGACTTATTATGTGAGGTAATACATACTTTTCTATTAACTTTTAACTTTTAAGACACGGGCGCTACTCGCAGAAAGGCATTAAATGTTCCCCCAAACGAGTATATTCTATTTATTATATTAATAAATGTAGTTTGGGGAATTTACTCACTTGTAAAAATTAAAATTTTTATGGAAAATCTTGTAGTAGTGTACTAACTTCATTAATTTAACGATCCTTAAATCTATGTTTACAGATTTGTTATTACAATTTAACGACACGATCAGAGAAA